ATATATTCTCTCTCTCTCTCTCTCTCTCTCTCTCTCTCTCTCTCTCTCTCTCTCTCTCTCTTTCTCTCTTGCAATGTGCAGCTCCTTGAAAATATCATCGAGTCGTCACGTGTACAAAGTATCCAGAGTGTAACAGAGAAGAAATCGATTTCTAATAACCGGGACGAGCAATCAATCTACGTCCTTTTAAGGATTCTTAAATTAACTAGAGAGACTATTATAATGAACGATACTTTTCTATTTTCCCGTTAAACTTCGCTAAAAAGAAAGGAAAAAAAGAGTTTTCTCGTCTCGGGCGCTCCTCTCATTGTGAGAGACACGCGTGTCGGTTGGTCGGCTGCGGTTTTAACGGGTTAAACATTGTCCCCGGGACATTGCGACAAGAATGCAAAGCGCGCACTTATGCGGCGACGGCGGCGTCGCGTTGCAAGAAAGAAGGTGTGTATATCAACGCGTGTTTTGAGTTAAATTCTTGCCGAGTCAAGAGAGCACTGAGAGTCCCGTGCGCGCGTCCCGTAACGCACATAAGTGCGATATTCTCGAGATATATGATCGGTATCAGTCAAACAAGCCAATAACGTATCGTTGTAACAACGTTGAGAAATTCGAGATGCTATTCGTTTCTTCGCGATGAATAGAGTGTACAATCGTGTACACACATGTTTTTAGTATAGCCTTTTAACAAAGTAGATGCTGTGTGATACCGATACTCCATTCAAGTAAAAAGTTCTTCGCGGAACATGAATGATACGCAAATTAACATTCGACAAAGATTCTCCACTTTGACAGGTTCTGAAGGAGATATACTTGAAATAAGCAAGACGCTTGAAAGAAAAGTTTTATGGTATTCAATGCTCTTTTTATAATTGCGCAATTAAACCTTCCACCTAAGTATAACACATTTGAAGAATTTAGATACCGAATTTTACATGTATATAATATTCGACCGATGTTACAGAACGAAACAACAATTGTCAACGATAATTTCAAGCGGATCGAGTTTTACCGTTCGATATCGTATTTACGTCACAGAAATATGGTACGCGTTCGCGCGTCACGGTAATTTTATAAGTGACATCCTACAGGTGTAATCGCGCGACGTTCATCACCGCGTTTACGCAAGAACGCATTGTTCTCACTTGGCATAGCTCGTCGCTAACTTAACCTAAAGTACACTACTCGTCGCATCTTTCTCGCTTGCTCACGTCGACAGCGTCGAGAGCGACGCGAAAGGCGAAAGAGAAACGGAAACGATCGAGCTGCAGAGAAAGAAGAGAAGAACCAGCGCGCGCGCGGACTCGCGAAGAGAAGGTGAAGGTGGCCTCATCGTATAAAAGTGGAAGAAGGTAGAGAAGGGGCCTTGACCGATACGTGATCATCGGCTATGGACAACGAACGGACAACGGAGTACGGACTGATTCAGTCGAGCTGGAATGTCTCCCGCGTTACCGTTACGTCGCGAAGCACGACGAGCGTGTCACACAGCAGCGACAACGGTGACGGTGGCGGCGGCGGCGACGACGACGACGAGTTTCTCTTCTCTTCTCTTCTCTTCTCTTCTCCTCTCTTCTCTCATCTTCTCTTCTTCGGCACGTCGCGATCTAGAAAACAAGCGCGACAAAAGTACTCCGCCACGGGAGAGAGATCTCGTTCGACATCACCGCCACCATCCGTTGACATTTTCACGAGAAATCACATTTCTTCATCGTCTATGAGGCGATAGCGAGGCGCGCAAGGCTGATCGATGATGTATTTCGTTTTTTTTCCGATCAGCTAGAGCTTTCGTAATTCGATGCGCATCGCTAGTTCATCGACGATGTTTTTGGTGGCATCCTGATGCTAATGTAGCTTCGAGATATCGCATATATGATGTTACAAGACGAAGATACGTACGTATTCGTAAAGCGAACGGCCCCGTGGCTTTTGATGGTTACCCTAATTTAAAATCGCGCAAGAACCGGTTCGAAGAGGAAGAGGTCGCGAAAAATGGGAGGGAGAGAGTAAGAGAATTGCGGATACAATTGCGAGTACTCGCAGACGGCGAGAAAATATAAAAACATTTATTAGTCTCCGGGCATTCTCTGAAGTAGAGATTTGCGTCGAGCAAGCGTTCTTCGTGTTTGACCCCATCAATAAAATTCGCCATCCTTCCGTTATGCACTGAAAATGCGAAACGTTTGCACAGAGGGAAGAAGAAATGTTCGAAAGATCAACGCACTCAGACGTTCGACAATTTGTTTACAGCGACGATAAGTATTCACGACAGAGCGACAGCCATTGCATTTCGCACAAGTTACGCAAAGTTATGCAACATCGAAATGTCGCGCATTTCCTGATGGTCGTAAAAACGACAAAAAAAAAAAAAAGAAAACAAACGGAGAAAAAAGAAAAATGACAAGTGTCGAGAGAAAAATTGACGCGGCGCGTCGCGCGCTGACCGGTCACGTGACCGGCGCGGTAGATCGCGCCAAGTTCTCGGCAGGCATGTAGTAAGTGCAATCCGGAACGCGAAATGGTCCGAAGAAAAATAAGAAAAGGATATATCATTCGTCCATTCTCGAATCGAAATGCTGGAAGAAGGTATCTCGATTTTAATGGAGGCTCCGATCGAGCGAACGCCGCCGCGCCTTCGTGCTCGAGCTGCGCTCGAGCAGGTGGAAGCGGTTCTGGAGCAGAACTGGTTTTCGGTGGGAGTTAGTGGAGGAGAGCTTGTGAGGTGTGTGTGGTGATATTCTCTCTCGCCGGTACACGTCGGCTACATACACGCCGGTAGGCGCGTTGCTGGTATGCCGCCGCCGCCGCCGCCGCCGCCGCCGCCGTGGCATGCTGTCGCGAGTATATTCTCATGCAGTGGCGGGAGTCCCCGAGGGAGGCCGGTGGGGCCTCCTCGGCTCTTCGCCGACAAGTGATCGTTTACAGTTATAGTCAGTCCGCATTGGGCGCTCGGCCGGCCCTGACTACACCAAGTACGTAGTCGTCGACTGACGTTGATAAAGTTTCACTTCTTGGTTCTTTCAGATACGCGTAATTATTGGCGTATTCGCATTTTATCTCTTTCTTCCTCTTTCTCTCTCGCTCTTTCCTTCTCTCTCTCTCTCTCTCTCTCTCTTAGACTCATCATCTTTAGAGTTTGTTTCTTCTCAAGACAAAAATCTAAGATTGTGCCCATTATTTGCGACATCTTCCTCCTCCCTTCCTCCCTCCCTCTCTCCCTCCCTCTCTCCCTTCCTCTCTTCCTTATATATAGATGGTTATTTAAATTTCCTTATCGTTGTCACGCTGATAACATCGAATCGTCGTTACGTTTCTCGACGTCTCTCGACGGCGACTCGCGATCGACGTGACATTATTAACAATTTGTCGACGTACGGCAGTTTTGCGAAAGACTGAGGAACGATCCAGTGGTTCAGTTAGTGGCAAGATCGATAAGTGTCGTGTGAAAAGGAAAAGTGCGAGACACGTTTGGCAGCGAAAAGCGACTGTCAGTGCTCAGACAGTCGCTACGTTACGTGGACTCGGCGAGAACATACGTACGCACGTACGTACACGCGCGCGCGCGCGCTCTCTCTCTCTCTCTCTCTCTCTCTCTCGCAGTCGTACGGGGATACTGATGGAGAATAATCGACCAACGAGGTAAATACAAACTTCTTTTTTTCTTTTTTACCGACACCATCGTTTTCGCTCGGCAACGAGTGCGGAATGAACACGTCTGCACTTTTGTGTCTCGTACGAGAGACTAATGTAACGTGGCAGCGCTTTTCTCATTTCTCTTTTCTCAATATTTTTCGTCGTCTATTGTTTATCGTAATCGAGGACTCTGTTTTCGTTTATCGCGAACAGTAATTTTTTCTTCTCTAAGAGCAATGCGCAAGACATGAATAACGATACGGAGCTGCGTGGAAAACTCAAAGAGATAACAAATTGGATAGATTGAATTTCGCGCTGCAAAGCTCGAGAGTGCGAGACGCCACATCGATAGCTCGAACACCGGCACGGCGCGACGCGGCGCGACGCGACACGCCGCGTGGCGTAACGTATATATAGCGTGGCACACGATAAATTACAACGTGCGCTCGGAGGGTTATCGTTTCAGGGCTTAGTAATTACTATCGGGGATCGTTCGATTATACATTGCGCGTTCTTAAAGCACATTTAATTACACGATGTCGGCCGCTAATAATCCAACGCCGAACAACGCCGAAATATCATGACTCGAAATCGCGTTCATATTCCTACGGCTGTTTATGTCGCCCTTGACATTTTATCCAACGATAAGCCGAGCACTTTTCTTTACGTCGACAGAAAGCGAGCGAGAGAGAGAGAGAGAGAGAGAGTGTGTGTGTGTGTGTGTGTATGGTTAAAATGTGTAAACGCGTACGCGCGCGTATGTGTGTGGAGCCACGGATAATATCGGCGCTGATAATAAAAATAAATCAATAGCCGATAATGCGAATAAATAACAATCAAAATCACGAAGAGAGTTATTTTGCGCGCCGTTTCTCTCTCAATAAAACGCCAGTGATAAGAACGAAACTCTTAACGGAATTCCTTTATGTCACTGTTTATTACACAAACATGTGTAACGTGTAATGGCACAAACGTGCGCTCGATAAAAGGAATGAAGAGCGGTTATATCGCCGTAATATATATATAAACAAAAAATATAAGGAGCAAGCTATTGAAAAGACACGCGAATCAAGTTGTGTCGCAACACACATTATTGCATAATTCTTCAAGCTATTCGCGCAGCGTTTGCGTGCTGCTATTTTTATTTCTTTTTCTTTTTTTTTTTTTTTTCTTTTCAAAAAGACGCTTTTCGTGAGGAGCGAAAGGAACTATTCGACGTATTCCTACGCGAAATTTGCATATCAAGGCATCGCGACGCGCGCATTAAAGCGTAGCCGAACTGTTTCGTTATAATTGCCGCGTCTTGTGATAATTGCGGTGCACGCGAAACGATATTTCGCCACTTCGCTTCGATTTGTAGGTCGACCTGTAATACTTGCTGACAATAATAATGCGAACATTAACACGTAGCGCTTACAAATCAAGCACGGGTGCGTTCAACCGCGCGTGTTTTTCACTTGGCGATTATTCGTTCGTTATTAAACACAATCGCGCGTATATGAATAAATGCGAATGAATATTAATATTCGCGTTAGCTAGCTCGCATTAAAATGACGATTAATTTCGACACATAGGATATTTCGCACACAAAATGTATATTGTTAAATATGAAGTGTTGGATTGTATTATGTTATCAGATAATACACTATATTAAATACTTTAGTTCAAGTCTAAATATTAAGGAAATTTGGATAGATTAACGGTTGGAAAATTCAGGTGAACGAATAGACACGAATGCAAATGAAAATAACGTTTTGTAACGCGCAATAATGTCGAACTCTCGCGGTATCTATGTTAATAATTCGCAATGTAACAACGTCTCATTCTCGATAAGTCGCCGGAAACTTGAGACACTGCGGCGAATTAACATACTAAATAAACAACTCACAATGCAACGATGAGTAGCAGTACCTCGAAAGCGTCGACTTTTAATCCGATAAGCTAATGGGACGACACGTTACATCGGCAGCGACACGACATAGAACGATCGTGTCGACCCGTGTTATACTGTAAAAGAAATGAAAGTATATTAAACAAGGCACACTTGTGCAATATGTCTTATGTGTTATTTGTCGCGCGACATCCTATTTGATCGGTTACTTATAGTTACTTGCACCGTTGCAATTTCCCTTAGCCACTGAGATGGCTAAATCCAGAGGAAAATGACAGAGAAAACAGTAAAGATAGAACATTTCCCCTGCAAATGACCAATAATGGACGGGTCCGTATTTTTTGGGGAAAGACGGTAAAATTGAAAGTGCACTTTTCCCGCACACGTCGCGCAAAATGCATCGTGTGAATCGTAGTGTGCGCTCGTCTCTCTCTATATGTGTTTGTGTATGAATTATGCAACTCTACGTACACGTGTTATTCAATCAGATAACAGGCCAGGCTCTCTGTCTAATCGTCTCATGTCGTTCGCAAATTTATACTTTGAGTAATACAACGACGAGAGAGAGAGAAAGAGAGAGAGAGAGAGAGAGAG